ATGTACTGATAAGTTGCTTGTCGGATAGCTGCCTGGATTTTAAGATTAGTTTCATCTTCTGGAATGTTCAAGATGCGTTTACTGATTATGTCCAATTGTTCTGCATGCTTTGCTATTGAGGCTCTTAATGACTGAGCATCCTGAAGCGAATATTTAGAGTCTCCATCCATTATTGAATCATACATCTATCAAAGAGTACTATCAATGTTAAATTAGCTTAAGAAAATACAAAAGTAATAGGACAGTCTAAAATTTTGTCCCAATTTAAGAGCATAAACAATAATTTTCTGCATATGTAATTTAGAGCTATAAACTTGAATTAACTGAACAATATCAGTATCCTTACTAAGTCAAATTGCATTTAAAGTTCTTTAAAAAAAATGCTTTACCTTTTTATACAAATCAACCAAAGGTTCCAATTCACACTTGACTTTGTGCAATTGTTCATACATCTGACAAATTAAAGGCTTTTCTATTTGAGAGATTTGAACTCTTCTTCTTGTCTCCAATAAACCCATACAATGATTACATATCCTGATACTATCCATATCATTTTTAATAGTAGTATCTCCTTTATTTAATGTATATACTGATGTCACAATGGATTCTACAATTCTTCTACTGAGCAAAGGTTGTTATAATTATAATAAAAACCTACTTGCAATTTCATATGGCAAAAATGTGGAGCAACTGTTGCACATAATACTGCCACAAAGTCTACAGTGATGTTGCCTTCTGGTGATGTTAAAAGTGCTTGCACAGGATGGACATCGAGTAACGGTTGTTCCATCCAACCATTGAACAAGTTCCTGTTCATTTTGTTTCCGCGCCGAACCATCCAAGTGAATTAATTTATCTAGTCGAATTATAAGCTTATTAGTCTCTGTTGTCCTGTGATCTAAGCGATTTCTTCTCACATCTTTAAAGTATTCAGTATGATCACGAAAATGACCAACTTCTTGAGAAACGTTCGCAGGATCTAAGAAATATTGCTGCTTTGGTATATATTTGTTTACTTCCAATTCCTGTTCATCTGATTTTAATATCTTCTTTTTGGCTTTGCTCACAAGATCTAAAAATTGAAATGCAGTAAAACAAATGACGTTTACCTAACCTATAATTACCTTTTATAGATGTAAGAAGGTCCTGTTCTTCAGAATGTAAATCTTGAAAATGAACCAATAAAGCATTTGGAGAACGTAGATCTTGGTGGCAGACTGGACATAAAAATCCTTCTTTTATTACGGCTTTATACCCCGATTGTGCCATGAAAACAATTATAACCTTAAAACTACTTCATGAAACAGACTTAGTAGTGTCTAAAGTTAAGACGTCGTTTTTCTTGGTGCTGCTTATGTAGCACACATCCATACAATTTAAGAATAGTGCGATCGCTCTATCAACAATTTTGTGGATATTATTTATTGTTAGGATTTAAACAATATCAGCAAAATGAAAACTTTTAAAGAAAATACATCCCAATCTAATAACTGTATTCATTTTTAACAAGTACGTACACTTCTAATTGCAGAAGAGAAAACGCACTCTGATTGGTTGTTCGTCTTCTTCTTTAGTAATTAAATAACGAAACGTTTAATCGAAACACTGAATAGATCTTGTTTCCTTAAATACTGCAAATTTTTAAAATCAAAATTTATGCATTTATGAAACATTTAATATGCAAATCGTTGGATCTTAGAAAATAAATAAAACAACTTTTTATATTTTTTGGTATTATTGTATTTATTTACAAAGCCATACTTTTTAGATGTAACATTATATACATTTATGCATGATATATCAAATACATGTAATTGTAATAAATTATTTTTGATACTGACACTTGAAAATATCGAACAAAGTAATTTTAAACTTTCATAGCTGAAACATCTAGAAAAACACTATAGTAGCTTAATAACAAATTATACAAGAAATGTTACAATAATTACACAATTTGTTCCAATTTTTGTTCATCAGTTCTTTTATCAAATAAAATTCATATTTGAACGTCGACAGTCAGTTAGCTTATTTTAATGAGATTATTTTTCCAAGGAGTTATAAAATACAAAAAAAATATAACAATAATAATAAGGTATTACTATAATACGTATTAAGATAAAAAAAAAATATTTTTTTGTTTCTGTTTTGTTTACGATTGGTTTCCGATTCCGTTTCCTAACTGAAGTAACTGACTGAAGTAGTTAACATTTTTAAAAATATTGCACTGTAATTCGTAATTAACAAGGCGCAAATGATAGTTCATGTTCCAAAGAAACGAAAAATACGAAGGTTACGGACTAGCAGGCAAACTGTCGTCACTCTCAAAACAAGTTACATAACTATCTGTACTGTCCGGATGAGTCATTCCATCCGTCGGAGGACCTGAGATAGGAGGCATTCCCTGAGGGGGACCTGCTGGTGCTGGACCCATTGGTGGTGGAGGTAAATCGTAACCGTGCATCTAGAATAAAAAAATCAAAATCTGCAAATTACGCGTTCGAAAAAATACTTAGATATATTTATTATATCTTTATTCTATATTCTGCGATACAGGATGTCCTGTAATCATTCGCATAAGCTTTACACTAGAGAAGGAGCGAGTAACCGGTTTGCATCCTGCATTTTTTTTACGATTTGATCAGTCACCGAATAATGGCGCCGGATCCAGACAAAAAAAATTGGCATTTGAATTTTAATGTAAAATGTTTGATCTTAGAATAGCCTGAGGTAGAAGAATTTTAGTCGGTAGGTCCGAGGACATTTTCCTCGAGAATCCGACACTATCCAGTCGTACGAACGGGTGGGTGTTTTTTAAAGATTTCCCCTTTTCCACAAAAACAAAACAAAAAAAAATGTTATAACAATTACAATTGTAATGCCAAACACACAGTTATCCGGCAGCCGGTAAAACCACCATCCGGAGCATCTCTACGTACAATGTCGCTATAAAATTCATGATTAAGAGTCACTCATATACATCTGTACTTAAGTAAATACCACAAATGGCGCGGTAAACGCCATCTGTAGTACGATGCTACATTTTAGGATTACGTATGCTCCAACAAGGTCTATTTAAATATATGGATATCTACTTGCTGANTTAAATCGATTTCGTCAACGGTTTTTTCAAAAAGGAAGTCATCGTGGTTTCTTGTGTCGTTATAAGTTAGTGTAAATTCAGTTATATTGTTACTTTTTTCTACTGTATCCTTGTCGTAAAATAAATATTCAGGTTGTTGAGATTTTACAAAATCAGATTTAAAATTTTCTGCAAATTGAAATGATTGCTTGTTTGAACTGTCTTTCTTATTATTTGATTTGTACTGAATGTCTAGGGGCTTTTTAAACGTATTCTTGCTATTTATTTTCAACTTATGTCCATAATCCTTTTTGGCATTGTTACATCCTAAGAAGAATCCCTCCTTGGTCTGAGTATTAGGAAATTTTAACCCATGTGATACACTTTTTTTCTGCTTTTGATGAGTAGAATGCTTTAAACAATTTTCTGATTTGTATTTATTTAAGTTTCTCTTGTCGAAATTCATAGTGTGACGTCTTAAGCAATTTTCATGTTGTACAAACTTTTGATTACGAGTTGCATTTTTACAAAACTTATTTAAATCTTGTCGGTTACGATTGGCTATATTGCAGTTGATTCCCATTGGATTGCCGTAGTTGGTACAGGATTTTCGACAAGTAGGAAAAGAATTGCTTTTTTTCAGGTAGTTCTCGTGGCTATCATAGCTATCATAGCGACATATACCGTTACATTGTTGGCGAGAACTATTAGGTATAAATGGTATACGAGTCCGATAATTGTGATTTCGAACGTTATCATAAAGATTTTTGTACTTTTCTTTACTTGAAATATTGTTCGTTTTATAACAACAACTTCCACGATTTGTTTCTTCTATCACAGGTTGCATTCTCTTACACATATTACTTTGAATATTTGGTTGAGCTTTGGGAATAGATTCAAGGCATTGACATTGTCTTTGATATCTGTCGTGTACCTGACATCTTTTCTGGTTATTGTAAATCCAATTTGTACATTCGGTACGTTGAAAGGCATCTTGCAAATAATTACGTTTGTTTTTCAAATAATTATCTACGTTTCTCGAGTTATACGTCTCTTCAATGTACTTTGTATTTGATAAGGGCCTTTCCTCGGAACAGTAAGGTCGACAGTATTTTTTATTGTCACTGGATTTTATATCTTTTATTTTCGTGCACGGTTTTTTGAAATCGGAAAAAAATTTACTGGTCTGGAAGGGAGTATTGAAGTTAAAGGTGTAATGCGGGTCGTTTGTATGAGACTTTTCGTACTTTGGGTCTAGTATGTTGTAAAGGGTTATTTCTGGAACACCATTACCGACACTGTCGTTAAAATAGTCAAAATTGAAATTCATCTGAAATTCTCTTTCTTCGTCCATCGTGATCTTTTCGTGCTCTTGTAGAGTGGTTTGTACACATTTCGTACTTTTAGTTTTTGAATAATTCTCACAGTCATTGTTTCCCCAATCGGACGTTTGAACTTCAATTTCTCTACATTTAGTTTGTTTTCCGCCAATTTCATCGTACTTATTCGCCTTTGTTATGGTATAAATCGAGCTTTTGGCAACAGTCCGATGAGTGTTAACTTTAATCGAAACAGTCATATTTGCATTGCTATCTTCATTTCTGAGGACTTTTTGGGACGGTTTGGGGGGTTTTCTAACGGTTTCTATGGGCATACAGTTGAAGATGCTCTTGGGACTATCTGATTTATAAACTAGCGAAGATTTTAGGAACATATCCAAGATTAGGCTTTTACCTTTCCTCTCACTCTCATTAAGAGCACCTTTAGTATCAAAAACCAGTTCTGGTTCGTCATCACTATCTGAATTTAAAACAAGACTTTGGGTGTTATGGTGACGATCAAAAAGGCTTTTCTTATTTTCCTTAGTAGCTGGAGCAATTTCTGATTCAGACCAACGGTTATCATGAGATATGTCAACGTCATTACTAATTGTATTAGTTCCTTGTTGAATTGTTTCTAAATCAGGGCATGATTTTCGCTTTTTGACGACGACATCTTTTTTACTTTTGTAAGTCTCATTTCTTTTGCGTTTAGCTGGTACACTTTTAAAAATACCATCGATATTCGATAAATTAACGCCACTACTCATCTTTCCTAGAGATTCGTTACGAATTTCATCCTTAGTTTTATCAGTTTTAGATTTTGGTAAGAGTTCTTCTCCTACTAGGAACTTTATGATAAGTTTTTCTATACATTTCAACACAACATCCCATCTTTTAAATTCTACCAATGTTTCACTATGTTCCAACCAGATCTCTACCTCTGAAGTCGGGCAGGAAATATTTAACAGATAAACGGCGTAGTTTGCATCATTTTCGAATACTTGTACGCATCTCTGATGAAAAAATGACTTTAAAAATAATTTCCTTACAACTTTTTGAATCGATTGACATTCGACTGGTCTTTTATTAACATAAATAAGTTGAAGTTTGTTTATTGAATATGGATATTTGTATATCAGACCCGTTACCCTTATTTTATCTTTAGTGACTTGTAATTGTTCAAAATTTTCAATATTAATGTGTTGATAAGCATTTACCACAACTTCTGCGACTGTTTCGACCATGTGGGATTGTAAAATAATTTTATTGTTAATGTCATCTCTTATACTAAAAGAGATGGAAGGATGGACGAAAGAAAGACTTTCAATATACAGTCTAATTTCTTCCATGTCTAAATTTCGTTTAATTTGCTCTTTTCTAACTGGCATGTTGCATAAGAAATTTTCGATTGTTATTGTCGTTCCTATGCAAGGTCTAAAACGCCCTACTTCAACTGGGCCCCATTTACCGTTTTCGAAAGTTTTACTGTACGTGTTACCGTTTTCATTTACCCTAGATTCAATAACTATTTTCTTCGAACATGACACTATACTTGCTAAAGCTTCACCCCTGAAGCCGTAACATTTTGGTCTTTTTTCTAATTCTCTTAGTGATCTACATTTACTGGTTGCATAACGTGTTGCAACCAAATTCATGTTAACTTGTGAAATACCACAACCATTATCCACTACTTGTATTCTAAATGATGCTAAATTAATTCTTATGGCTATTGCACTTGATTTTGCATCTATACTGTTTAAAACCTACAATTTAATAAAAATTTATGACATTGTACCTATATGAAGGGATATAATTAATGATTAAACAGAAGAAAAGTATTTTTACATAATGATAAGGACGATAGTACGCGCGCCTAAACATGTTTTTATTTTTGAATAACGTAAACGTAATGAAGGAGCATACGGTTTTTAAAATTCAAATATAAGTTCAAATCAAATAAAATCAATCCTAATGGAATCCAAACTACATAAAAAATCTAATCTATAATATCCTGTAATTCTCCAGTAGATTAATCAGAATCAAATTTAAAGTTAGAAAGCATACAATTTTATTTTGTTTAAGTAAATAAGTTTCGCTTCCTGAGAGAATACGCAAGAAAGTTTAGTAAAGTTTTAAATATAAAGAATGTGCTATTTCCTTCCTTTTTTGTGTATGTATATATATGTAGCATTTCTTATCATCTATAAATATGTAATAATTGTGACTGTTCATATTTTGTACTTACTAATTCTATGACGCACTGCTTGAAACTATTTATTTTAAATCCACTTCTTAGTTGAGATGTAACACTTGGCGCTAAACTTTTTATATCCATTTTTAAATTGAAGTAGCAACATAACATAGGGTTATAATGACAGTATTGAGAAAAGTCAAGAATAATTCATTTATTAACTGGCATGCAACCTTTTAAACAAGAAAACTCTAAAGCAGTGAAAGAGTTTCGTAATCCATCGCACGCTACGACTTTCCAAACTATTAATAGTAAAAAGCTCAGGTAATTTACTACGACCATGTGTAAAATGCCTATTTTTATCAAAACATCATAAGAACGTGTTTTCCTGAAAGTATGACTTTTTTAAATCAAATTCTTGAAAGTTATTAAATTGAAATCATAAACAGTTAAATATTTCGAAGAGTCAATTAATTATATAAAGAAAAGATAAATATTTCCTTCCTATGTGTTTTATTAAAACAGTGAACAATAATGAAATAAATAAAATAAAACTTAAAATTATTCACTTAGCTTAAGCATAACAACTTACATTTAAAAGAAATACAATTATACATCACATAACTTTTCATGACAATAAAAGACGGATACAAATAACATTAAGTTACGTTAATAATAGGATTCACTAGAATTGAGTAATAAATTGTAAAACAAACACCCAATACTGGTTTTGGTTACTTTAAGAATATTATATCTGCAGACTCTTAAATGCATCAAATTAAATAATACTTTTAAAAAATGAGATAGAGCGGTATTTACTATTTCATTTAAACTTTCAATTAACTTATTCCTGCCCCACAGATTCATTTCTAGA